GAACTCTGGGCCTGGGCGCTATCCTTCAGCTCTTCAGCTCAAGGCTAGTGCTCTACCACTTGAGCCACAGCGCCACTTCTGGCTTTTTTCTTATGTGGTGCTGAGGAATCGAACCCAGGGCCTCAAGCATGCAAGGCAAGCGCTCTACCACTGAGCTACCTTCCCAGCCCCTATAATTTTTATAATTATAATTTTTGTCTAAAATGGTAATATCTGCTTACAGTATACACCAACTAATTTAACTCTATCAAAAGGCCAGTCCATCCTATGAAGTTTGTATATGCTAATAAACAATTTCTTATTTAAAATGCTCTCAAAGTTTTGGTATAGTTAAACATTAGCATTTTAAGTAAAATGTGATCTAAATAATATATAAATATAGTTGGGACAACTATGTTTCTTTAGTTTATTAAATTTTAAACAACATAAAGACAGGAATCTTTTTTTGTGTGTGCTAGTATTGAGTATTGTAACTTGAACCCAGGGCCTCCTGCTCTCACATGACTTTCTCAGTCAAGGCTGGCACTTTACCATTTGAGCCTTATCTTAATGACTTTTTGCTGCTTACTAGATATTAGAGTCCCTTAGATTTTTCTTCCCAGGCTGGCTTTGAAACTTGATCTTCAGATCTCAGCTTCCGAATAGCTAATATTACAGGCATGAGCCACTAGTGACCAGCCAGGAATCATATTTAACTTGCTTTTTATTATGTAACAGTAATTATGACTATAAACTATACAACTAATACAAAATCTGATACGATCTCACAAATTACTTATTTTTGCCTAACATGACCTCAAATGACAAAACATTACTTATAGTTAGAGCGTGCTAGCCTTGAGCTGAAGAGCTGAGGGATAGCGCCCAGGCTCAGAGGTCAAGGCCCTGACCAACAAAAAAAAAAAAAAGAAAGAAAGAAAGCACTGTTTTAGTAGCTGGGCATCAGTAGCTCAGACCTGTATTCTAATGACTCAGGGGGCTGAGAGCTGACTCAAAGCCAGCATGGGCAGGAAAGTCCCTGAGATGCTTATTTCCAATTAACCACCAAAAAGCAGAAAGTGGAGCTGTGGATCAAGTGAGCAAAAAGAACACCAGCTTTGAGCAAAAAACCTCAAGGACAATGCCCAGACCTTGAGTTCAAGCCCCAGGACTAACACATACACATATATAAATATTGTACTCATATAATCCTAGCTATTCAGGAGATTGAGATCTGAGAATCGAGGTTCAAAAAGGCAGCCCAGGTAGACAAATCCATGAGACTCTTATCTCTAATTAACCAGTAAAAAGCCAGAAATAGAAGGATGGCTCTAGAGGTAGTGTGCCATTCTTGAGTAAAAAAGACAAGTGACAACACCTGCCCTTGAGTCAATCCCTAGTACCAGTATCAAGTACATACAAAAAATAATAGTAAGCTGACAACACCTGCCCTTGAGTCAATCCCTAGTACCAGTATCAAGTACATACAAAAAATAATAGTAAGCTGTAGCATTCAGAATTGCCAGATTTTTCCTAATAGTTATCAGAGTACAGCTTAGGTCTCAAGGTAACCAGGCCACAAAGAAGCTGGTCATATTTTGTGTGCACATTCAAAATAAAAAAAAAATAAGCTCCTGATAGCCCCTCCATCCTCATTGACACTTTTCTTTTTCTATTTTTTCCTGGTACTGATGCTGAGGCTCAAACTTAGCGCCTGGGCATTGTCTCTTAACTTTTTCCCTCAAGGCTGGTGCTCTATCACTTGAACAACAATTACACTTCCATCTTTTTGCTAGTTAATTGGAAATAAGAACCTCAAGAACTATCTTGCCTTGACTGGCTTTGAACCTCGAACCTCACTTTCCAGATTCAACAGGAGCTAGTATTAGAGGGAGGAACTACACTCATACAAAGAGGTCAGAGTGTAGCCACACAAACACTGAGAATCACTTACCTTGACAGCATTGGCCCTCACCTCTGGGACCTGAGCCATCCTCTGCAGATGCTGGAGCAATGCATCCTCAGTGAGGTCATTCTCAGGCAGAAAATACTGGTACACATCATACTGCAACCTCCACCGTAAGTCCTCGCCCTCATCAGTGTCACAGGGTGGAGGAGCTACACCTCTAAAGTCAACAAAGAAAACTGAACATTAATCTCCTTGATGAAAGTACCATCTACAAAAAAGGACCAGAAGCTCTAATTTCAGGGGACTTAGGGGGATGGAGGACTGGAATGTGAACTCAGGGCCTCAATTTCTTGCTTAGGTTTTCCCATTTAAAGCTGGCATTCTACCACTTCTCTACTTCTGGTTAATTAGAGGTAAAAGTCTCACAGACTTTGCTGCCTGGCAAGCTTCAAACTGTAATCCTAGGATTTCTAGCTAGGATTTCAGACATGAGCCACCAATGCTCTTGATTGCTTTCTATATTTAAAAAATGCATTGTAGGGCCGGGAGCCGGTGGCTCACGCCTGTAATCTTAGCTACTCAGGAGGCTGAGATCTGAGGATCACAGTTCAAAGCCAGCCTGGGCAGGAAAGGCCGTGAGACTCTTATCTCCAATAAACAACTCAGAAAACTGGAAGTGGTGCTATGGCTCAAGTGGTAGAGCACTAGCTTTGAGCTGAAGAACTGAGGAACACCGCCCAGGCCGAGTTCAAGTCCCACAACCGACACACGCACACACAAAAAATGCTTTGTAGTAACTAAGATATACTTCTAAGCTCATAATAGGTCCATATCTGGCTCTTCATATAATAAAGAGTTCATACAAATAGAATAGAGATGGTGTAATGTTAAAAAACAAATCACAGTTCAAACATTGGTAATGAAGTACACACTAGACAATTCCACACAAAAATGAAAACTTCCAATTTGACTACAGAATACTCGAGAGAGTTTAATAAACAGTCATGAATGACACTGAATAGCTTGGAAAGATTGGGAGATCATTATACCTTGCGAAGCCAACATTGGCTGGAGCAAATTTGATGGTCATTTCAAAGAAATTATACTCCAAGTAAATGTTGGGGTCAATATCTAAGTCAAACTCCAAATTACAGCCTCCAGGAATAGGATCTAAAGGAAAAACAAGTTACTTTAGATTTTTTTTTGGTGTGTATATGGTGGTACTGGGGCTTCAACTCAGGACCTGTGCATTGTCCCTTAGCTTTTTCTTTAAAAGCTAGCACTCTATCCCTTGAGCCACAGCTTTTTGTTGGTTAATTGGCAATAACCATCTTACACAAACTTTCATGCCCAGAATGCCTTTGAACCATGACCCTTAGATCTCGGCCACTTTAGTTTGGATTGACACTTGGTTTCATGCTCTCTAAGCTTACTGCTTCCTCTCCTAAAATATGACTCAATTTTTAGGACTGTGATTTGACTTTCTTTTTTCTTTGGGTCCGGTCGTGGGGCCTGAACTCTGGGCCTGGGCGCTGTCCCTCAGCTCTTCAGCTCAAGGCTAGCACTCTAACACTTTAGGTTTTCTCAGTCCTTTACTGGAGATGAGAGTCTCATGGGCTTTCCTGCCCCAGCTGGCTTTGAACCGTGATCCTCAGATCTCAGCGTCCTGAGTAGCTAGGATTACAGGCGTGAGCCACTGGCACCTGGCTTTCTTTGAAACTCTTATGTCTCAAAAAAAAAAAAAGCCAGAAATGGAGGTGCAGATCAAGTGGCAGAATACCAGCCTTGAGCAAAAAAGCTAAAGGACAGCACCGAGGCCCTGACTTTAAGCCCCAATACTGGATCAACAAACAAACAAACAAACGGGAAGGAAAAAAACCCTAAAGTCCATACTATGAGGTACAAGGCCCTGCAACTCTGGCCTCCCCTCTCCTTCCATCCTCCTCAAGCTCCTCCACACACTGTTCTCACCTTGTTTCTTCAAACCAACATAGGCAGGATCCCAGAAATGAGGCTTTGCATAGGTATTCCCTGTGCCTGGCACACAGAGGCCCTCCTTCATACTTGCAATACCCTGCCTCTAAGGCCTTCCCTAGGCATGCCAACTCAGAGTGCCTTCTCCCAGCTCCACATTATCTCCCTTTCTGATTGTGTTTTTTTCCTTGTAACTCTTCTTGTGTATAACATCTCCTCCAACTCAATATATATACTACATAGCACAAGTCCTTTAGTTGTATTATTCACATTTATTTTCCAGGCCCTTGAACAGAAAATACCAGAAAAGCTCATGAGGCATTTGCTATATCATTGAATCAATGAATGGGTTGAAAAAAGTGAATGAATGAATAAATGTAAACTAGACAAATGGGCACTGGAGCTCACCTAGTAATACTATTCTACTCAGGAGGCTGAGATCTGACAATTATGGTTCAAAACAAGACCAAGCAGGAAAGTTCATGAGACTGTTATCTCTAATGAACCACCAAAAAGCCAAAAGTGGAGCTGTGGCTCAAGTGGTAATGCACTAGCTGCCAGGAACAAAGCCAGTCTTGAGCAGAAAAGCTAAGGGACAGTAACTAGGCTTTGAGTTCAAGCCCTGAGACCAGAAAGGGGAAAAAAATAAACCCCAAAAAACTAGACAAAAGCATATTTGAACATTCTTAAGCTCTGTATTAGTAGAAAGTGATCTGCAAAGCCAAAGAAGGATTTGTCAAAATCCATATACTCACCCAGGGAAGCACAGCTACTCTCTACTGCGTTGAAGCTGCAAGCGTATGTGTGAACAGGAACATAAGCAGCAGAAGTATTTAAGGAGGGATCCCAGACAATGACATTATAAATGACTCCTTGGCCCGGGAGGGAAGAGAAGGAAACCTCTGTCTTATCATTAGCTGTTAGAGTAACCACCTAAAGCCAAAAACAATGCACAAATTAGTGGTTAGATTTAAAAACAAACAAACAAAAAAAAACAATTGTTTTACTTGTTTATTTATTTTTTTATTTTTTTGGGTCTGGTCGTGGGGCCTGAACTCTGAGCCTGGGCGCTGTCCCTCAGCTCTTCAGCTCAAGGCTAGTGCTCTACCACTTGAGCCACAGCACCACTTCTGGCTTTTTTTTTCTGCTTATGTGGTGCTGAGGAATCGAACCCAGGGGCTTGAGCATGCAAGGCAAGCGCTCTACCACTGAGCCACCTTCCCAGCCCCTACTTGTTTATTTTTATGTGGTACCAAGGAATTGGAATTGAACCCAGGGCTAGGCAAGCACTTTACCCACTAAGCCACATTCCCAGTCCCATGTGGTTAGATTTTTTTGGAAGGATATTCTATATTATCCTGACCATATGTAAAGAGTTGCGATATTAGGTAGTGGTAGAGTTTAGTGGTAGAGTGCTGGCTAGCATGCATGACTGGGTTCCATTCCTCAGTACCACATAAACAGTACCATATAAACAGAAAAAGCCAGAAATGTGGCTCAAGAGCCAGAGTGCCAGCCTTGAGCAAAGAAGCTCAGGGACAGTACCAAGGCCCTGAGTTCAAGCCAGAGGACTGGCAAAAAAAAGAGTTGCAATATTAATTTTTTGGTGTGTGTGTGTGTGTGTGTGTGTGTGTGTGTGTGTGTGTGTGTGTGTGTGTGTGTGTGAATATCGGGGCTTGAAAGGAGCTGAGTACTGTCCCTTAGCTTTTCAGCTCAAGCCTGGCGCACTACCACTTGAGTCTGGCTTTGAACTGGAATCCTCAGATCTCAACTTCCTAAATAAATATAGAAAGCGATCAAGGGCATTGGTGGTTCATGCCTGAAATCCTAGCTAGAAATCCTAGGATTTATAATTTTTTTTTTTTTTTTT